GAAAGTAAGAGCTACTTTTTGGTTTTAGTTAGAGTAGGCAAAAGCTTTCAAACATTTTCTACCTTCCATACAAAATCCAAGATAATGGCACTACCAATGGCTTGCAAACATTTTTGGTCATAATCCTGAATGCCCTTACCTGTATGAGGATTAAACCAGACCTCAAATAATATTGGAAAATAACTCTGGTGGTCTAATCACTTATTTATGCCGCTTAAACGGTGATATATTTTTATTATTTACAGAAGAGGCCACAAAAGTTTGCAGATGTTTAACTTTCAATTATTTTAATTCTAGCAGTAAGTCATGTAGCAAAATAGCTCTTAAAGATCTTCCCAGGGTGTATGTTTTGTCTTTATGATATTCCTTGAATAATTTAACAATTGCTTTAAGCTAAACATCCTCTTCCATATGAACAGCTCTTAAATCAAGCAGTAGTAAAATTCTACTGAAAATTATATAAATGGAGAATTGGTAGGTCCTAATTAACCAATTAGAAAAGTTTATGAGAGGTAGATTGATTAAATATCAAAGCTTCTGAGTTATATTATCTTTCATAAACTGGCTTTTCTCCAATTAGTATATGCTTTCAGGAGCAGGGAATAAGATGAAAGGATCTGCAACAAAACTGATTACTGCTGAAACAAAATGGAAGTTGCTGCTTTTCATAAAATACAAGGCTATGGCAGTACTTGAATAATTTTATGGGAAGTTGCTGCCTAAGGCATATGTTTTACTGTCTGATAGTGAATGCATGAGGAAAAACCATCTGTTTTTTTCAGCCTGAACAATTATATGATCCAGATCGAATCACTAGAGGCCAAATATAATTGCTCTATGTTTTGCTTTTTACTACTCTCTACCTACAGCAGCATGCTCTTGTACAGCATGTATTGTAGCACACCGTTCAAATGATGGCATGGGAATATACTTTTTCTTCTATTGAGGGTTATCAAATTACTATCCAGGGCTTAATGCAATCGTCTACACTTCATCTGTCACTGGAGAAATAATTCACAATAGGAAAGAAAAATTTCTGATAAACTTTGACCACTGTGATGTTTGAACCTTAGGGATTTATTTTGTTGGGCAGATCCTCATTTAACATTCAGCCAGGTGAAAGTTATTGCTGCATTCTTCATGCCTTCAGTTCCAGCTGGGAAAAAGGAGAGGTGCTTTCATTGCATGGCCTGAGTAAACAGATTGCACTAAAAAGATAACTTGTGATGCCTCACTAGTAGTTTACTTCAAAGGAAAGCACTTCACTGATACATAAACTACTGAAAATATTCCGCTTTTATTACTGTTGTGTTGTGTTTTACAGCACCTAAATGTATGCTTTTAGTTTTGCCAGGCTAGTAGGACTGGGTTTCTCCCCTCCACAGAAGGGCTTAGAGTTTAATTATAGACATAATGTGCTGAGTGGCACTGAAATAAGTGTTTTGTGTTGGAGAGAGGAATGAGGGGCAGAGGGGCAATATTTGAATGTGTGGGTGGATAAATGTCAAAATTTTTCTTTTGTTCTTTAATAGTAGTAATAATAATAATAATAATAATAATAATAATAATAATAATTTATAATGATGCTCCATGCCCTTTTGAGTTTCTAGAAAAACTGAGAGCAAGAGTTATAGAAGTTTGGAAAAATTTCTTTCCAATACTGTTTTTGCATATTTCTGTGACAATTGTTTCTGCTTTTCATGGATAAACTGCAGAACTATGTCAACCAGGTGCTAAGCCATGCTGCACCTGGCTTTCCTGAATATTTGCTTTTATTTTGATTAATACACTGCTTAACTGTACTCATTCCCTCTCCTGACTCACTTTTCCCATCTATTGTGAATAAACACCTTGCCCACGGCGATATTCTAAATCATACTCCTGACAGACTACGGCAAAGCAAGTGGTGGGTGAATGGAGGATGGTTTTGTGTAGGACTGGGCTGTGACTTAAAAGGTTCAGGTTTATTCCACATGTAAAGATTTTCTGTGTAGCCTTAGGCAAGTGCCTTACCTTTACTGTGGCATGGTCTCCAACTGTGATATGGGAACAAGAAATTTTATTTTTTCCTGCTGTGTCTGTTTTCCATAATTGTGCTAAAAGAAATCTCTCCCAAGTGAAAACTAGTATTGTGTTATTGGATAAGACCCAGTACAACTGGGCCTCCAATTTAGTTAGTATTACAGGAACAAAATCAAAGAGCAATTTTTAATACCTAAACATGAAGGAAGTAAGCAAATGTCATTTTAATTGATTCAGGTCTAAAAAATTCAGCAAAAGGAAATTACGTTTTTTTACTGTAAATTCTTAGTCACTTCTTAATTTTATTTTGCCCTCCATGCAAGCCTTAATGAGAAGAAACCACATTTATGCCTATGTCAGTAGGATGTAATTATAGGGGGGTTGCATCTGAAGGCTGTAGCAGCTGAAACTACCAGTAATGTTCTATGAGATTTTTCCTTTTTTATAAAGTGAAGGGGAGAAAAATTGTTCACAAGATGGATTTTTGTCACTTATCACAGAGTCACAGAATCATAGAAAAATAGAATCACAGAAAAATAGAATCACAGAATGGTTTGGAGTTGGAAGGGATGTTAAGATCATCCAGTTCCAACCCCACTGCCATGGGCAGAGAACCTTCCACTAGACCAGGATGCTCATCCAACCTAACCTTTAACACCTCTAGGAATGGGGCATCCACAAGTTCTCTGGGTAACCTGTTCCAGTGCACCCACACAGTAAAGAACTTCATTCTAATATCTAACCTAAATCTTACGTCCTTCAGCTTAAGGCCTTGTCCCTTGTCCTTACTACTACATGCCCTTGTGAGAAGCCCGTCCCCAGCTCTCCTGTAGGCCCCATTTAGGTGATGGAAGGCTGCACTAAGGTCTTCCTGGAGCCTTCACTTCTGAGGATGCTGAACAATCTTGATTCTCTCAGCCTGTCTTCAAGGGAACTGGTCCAGCACTGTGGTCAGTTTAGTGGCTCTCCTCTAGGTGATGTCCCAAAAGGTCAAGTCATGTTGAACTTTTTGTCCAGAAACACCCCCAAGTCTTTCTCCTCAGGGCTACTTTTGATCCATCCTCTGCCCAGCCTGTACTTGTGCCTGAGTTTTTGCATGAGTCTTGAGCTTTTATTAAATCTTGAAGCATGCACTGATCTTCACCTTTCTCTAGTCTAGAAGATAAGACTTGCCAATGGTGTATGCCAAATGTCCACTTTATCTTCCTGGATACTGATTTATTTACAGTCCTTAATAAAATTTATACACAAACTTCTACCATATTTGATTTTCAGAGTAGAACTTCTCCCCAGCAGTTAAGTAATAAGCTACAAAATGTGCTTCCAAAGTCATATTGTATTGCAGATAAAGATTTTCTACTAGAAATTCCGAAGACTAGACTTATATTTGTATGTAATGTATTGAATATATTATAGCACTCCTATATTGCATCATTATGAAAAGTCCATATGTTCTGTGGGAAAAAGTAATCATAGCTCCTGAAGCACAAGTGTATGCAAATGCAATAATATATTGTTATATCCAGTAGTCAGAAACACAGAAGTATATAGGTTGAAAAAAGCCTCTGTGAGTCTTCCAGTCCAACTTCCTTCTCAAAGCAGAGCTCACTTCAAAGTCAGACCATGGTCTTTTTCAGCCAAGTTCTGCAATCTTTGGGGACAGGGGTTTCACAGTGTGTGGTGCATTGACCCTGTCAGTGTACCCACCAAAGCCTCCCTATCATTCCCCTTCCTCAGCTGGATGGAGGAGAGAAAATATAATGAAAGGCTCATGGGTCAAGATAAGGGCAGGGAGGGATATGTATCTTCATTAATTACAATACCTATTCATTTGGGTTAGAACATCAGCTAATGAGTGCCAGCAATTCAGACAATAGTCAAAGACCTGTTTTTTGTTGCTTGACTCATTGTGCAGCATGAGTGACAAGTGTTTCAAGAAGGAATTTAGCAAAACATTGGTAGAATCAATTGTTACTGGGTGCTGATTAGTCAGTTCATGATACTCTGGATAAAATGAACCTCTTTTCTGATCCAGTTTGTAGATGGCTTCACTAGCACGGTGGTATTGTTGGTGAAGCAGTGCAAGAGGAAAGGATGATCCTTACCACCAACAGTTTATGTGTCACAGCAATACCAGTTCTGCCAGCTCGTGTCCACAAACACATGTGCTGTGACTGCTAAGGGTTGGACATGGCATGTGCAAGAATTTCTGCAGTGATACCATTTGTTTGGATCTTCCTCACAAGGAAGGGGAAGATCCAAACTTTTTGCTTTTTTTGCCTGTGTGTGTTCATCAGAATCATGAAACATACAGGCTAAACTCATGTCAACTCAAAATTGTGCTCAAGTTTTCCTGATTATAACTGCCTGGCTTGTGTAATTATTTCCACTTCTTCAGTGGATTGTATGATACTAAATTTGTTCCTAGAATGGAGCCTGTTCATTGAGGACAGTGATGCCATAGCTCTACCTCTCACTTCAGGTACTTTGTACACAAAGGCTGTTGCTCAGAAGGAGGTTGTTTCGGATGGATAGATAGGTGCAATATATAACTTAGCTCTTCAGTAAGCTTATGCAGCAGGTATTTGTGGCCAGTTGTAGGTGAAATGATTTTTCAGACCTGGGAAGCAAACCTCCTACTGGACATCTTACTTTAAAAACACTTAGATTATCTGGACTGCATAAAGGTACAGGATTGTGATACAAAAAGTAAAGTCTATGTACACTGGGTCATTTTCCCAAGAAAATCTTATTTCTCTGAATTCTAGCAGTGCTGCTCAGAAACATAGAGATTTAATAACAGGTTATTATCCTAATGTCTTTAATGAACTAAGTTAAGTGGTAGCTGTATTCCCCTCTACTAATGAAGACTGTACAGAGACAGTCTTACATTAATGTTGGTGAAGTACAATCAATATAGATACTGGATCAGGGTACTGTAAAATATTAACAATTATTAATATTCTTTCTTTTTCAGTTTTCTCCTTGTGTTTGGTTGCTTGATTTTGTCCGTGTTTTCTACTATTCCTGAACACACAAAACTTGCCTCTGGTTGTCTCTTCATTTTGGTAAGTGAAAATTCTAAATACAAGAGTTTTACATATACTTTTGTATACATTCTAATAATCTCTCTTCCCATGGAAGAAGTAATATAATACAGTGACTGAACACTTAAAAAAAAAAAAAAATCAGAGTTTTGCTTGGAATGATGAAAAAATTATGAGATAGAAGATTACACCATCTTTTTTATTTAAAAACAGGCCAGATAGCAAGACAGTGCTAATAGAGTATGGTCCTGCATCCCCTTCTTTGCTTCAGAACTGCTGTGGTTTATAACTGATAGATTTTCTACTGCAGTTTGGCAGTGACTGAGCATGAAAGACCTTTGATATTGCTGCTGTCTTTTATAAAGTCAGTATGTAGTAAGAGACACTTAAAATAGGAATTAATTTTGGTATCTTAGATACGGATTTGGGCTAGCTATTGGTAGATACTGACAATTTATTAGCAGTTGCTGCAGTAGGATGTGGTAGTTTCATTATTTCTTCATAATGTGTGCTTTTGTATTATGTTTATCTCTCCTTTTTCCCTTCTGAGGTAAATGAAAGTGGCTTTAATCCCTAAAAGTGCTTAACACTTTTCATGCATTGTACAGGCGCCACTTTATTCATCTGCTTCTTGATGGGCCATTTAGTTCTGCAAGTGATGGCCTGAGGATAGGCAATAGCAAATATTAAAACATCACCGTGTACCCAGAGTTACCATGGTTATTTCAGTTCCATGTATTCAGCAGACTGTGGCTTGTTAAGTAGTGCCTGAGGTGAAGTAACTGTTGACAAATGCCAACATTCTAATTGTCGTCGCTGTGTATACCCAAAAGCTCTGGTCTTCAGAACGGATCCCTAATTAATTATGGCGTGAGCAGGCTGATAAGCGCAATTATGTTGTGTGCTGTGTCTTTACAGCACAAGGGGCCACTGCATCAAATACCTGAACTAAATACCCAGAACTGGCTTAGGTGAAGGTATGTGGTGTTCTGCTCCACTGTATGGTTTCTTAGCAGGGCTAATTAGGGAGAACCATGCTAAATGTTGCCTTTTTCTTCCTTGCCATATTAGTGCTTTCTCTGAAGAAAAGACAAGGTGACATTAAACCAGGTAAAAAAGATCAGATTTAAACCTGCACTCATACCCAGACCCATTATTTACAAATCTGAACAAAACTTGGTAAATGGAAGTTTGTTTTAATGTTCTGCAGATTATTATATTATTGTAACTGGTATCCTAATTGCTAAGATTTTTTCGTATAGAAAACGGGAAAATCTGATTAGTCCAAAAATACTCTATTTGTAATAAAAGGTGCTTTTGTGACAAGTAATCTGTTTCCCTGTATACTTATGCAAATTGGTTGCAGAAATGCCATTTGTTCTGACATAAAATATGCATTTCCCAAGAGCCACGTATTTGTTGATTGTGCTGGTACACTTACCACTGCTGATTCCTCAGCTGGCTGGTTCCCTGTACTGTGCCAGGGGTCTCACAGGAGCCACAGTGAGCAGGAGCTCTGTGAAAGCCTGGCCTTGCTCCCAGCACTGGGTAGAGGTGTGCTGAGCTCTGACTGCTGGTACACCAGTCCTTGGAGAGGTGTCCATCAGCTGAGCAGAGCTGCTCAGTGTCTGCTGGGGGAAACTTTGGTGCTTTTTGCCACTAAGGCTTCAAAAATGAGCTTTGTCCATCTTAACTGTTCTGACTGTACATACCATGGCATCCTCTGAACATGGAATAGGACTTAAGGAAGAAGAGGGTGGATGGTTGATCCTTGAAGCATCAATACTAGCCTCATCCAGCATTTCTATACTATAGCCTACTGTGTTCAACAAAACTTTGGCAGGAATAAACCTAGTGATGACGAATTTTGCATCTCCTGCTGTGAGTCTCTAATGGAGAAAAATATAAACATAGCAAAGTATGAAGTTCCAGAAGCATGCTAAACTGACTGCTTTATTGCAGTTTGCTGATGCATGGTTTATTCCTTCTCTACATACTGAATCATTAGCTGATATTAACAGTGTTATCAAAACAGACTTTTACAGCCATGAACCAAGAGGAAAATACATTTCTACATTAACTCGGGAGCTGTTGTTTTGGCTGTGCTGACACCTAACTGCAGCCACTAGAGCTTGTGCAACCTTTTCCTTGCAGTGATTCACACAGATCTTCCAAATGTGTCATTTAGTAAGACAGCTGTATTAACTATCAGATCTGGTTTAATACTGTTTGTGCTTTGTGCTTGAAATAGAAGATATATATTTATTTTCTAATGAAGTACCGTACAAATGTAACAATCCATAGAGCTGCCTGCTGGGTTTCTGTGAACTGTTTGTTTTGCAGATTTATTCCAGATGGTCTCCCTCCAGCCATGTTAATTGGCTAAAAAGCTAATGTAATGTTCCTTCAACTTAATACCTGAGCTGCTGCGTGCACTGGCACCTGTGGCTTTTGACATATTGCAGCTATTCACAATTACACAGGGAGATTAAAGAGGGAAGTGTAGATGAGCTGAGCAAACCTTTTCCTCCTTCTCAGAAAGGCCAGAGGAGCTGAGAAGATTATTCTTCTCCAATCAGTCAATTCCATTTATCTGCCTGAGCTGCGCCTTACAAGGGAGCAGAGAACATATCTCATAATCACTGCATCCCAAATACTCTCTCAGAAACATGCAGCAGGGTGTGATAGCTCAAAGTAAATCGTTTAGGAAAGCAGTAATAGCTGAGGGCTTCTGAGCTTCAGCAGAGGTTAATGGACTCATCTGGGCTGCAGAAATGCCTGAGCTCTGCTACCAGAGCTGAGGCAAACCTGCCCTGCTGTGTTGTGCTGGACCCAGCTTCAATTCTGGCATCCACACAAGTACTACTGTGTTCCAAGGCATCTTCTCCTTATCAGGAAATCTGTCAAGGGAAACGCCTCTATTATTTGAATTTTATGCTCAAAATGAAAGTGATGCAGATAAGTGCATGTTACATACAGTTGGATTGTTGCATCAGTAATTAATTTGGTTAGATTTGTGTCCAGAAATAATGAGAGTAACCAGGAGGAGAGCATCAGATAAAACTCTTATACACACAAAGATAATTATGTTTTAGCCTCATCTGTGCACACAATTTCTGGCACTTAACTTGTAGCAGTGATATATCCCAGACAGCCAGTAGAATAAAAATCTACTTCAGCATCAAAATAAACCACAAGCAGTTTAAGAATCCAACTAACACAGCAAGAAAATAATCTTTGGTGTATTGCTGATCTACAAGTACATTTGCTAGCACTTTATCAAATAATAAACACAAGGGGAGTAAAACTGAGGCTGTGAAAGCAAAATCAAATCTTTTGGGGAAGATAGCCAAGGAGGAATATTATCTGGAACTGGAGGTTATTCACTCTCTTGACCAAACTCTATATTTTAACTTCATTTGCAGCCAAAGCTGAAAGTTACATGAATTTCTGGTTCACTTCTGTTTGTCTGCCGTCAATGCAAGAAAATTAATAAAATAACTTGAGTGGACCCAGGAAGCTTTGACAAACTGAAAAGTAAAAAAAAAAAAAAGTCTTGGATCAATTTAAGTGCTTCATTTGACCTGGTTTAAAATATTACTTGTGTATTTGATTATTTTAGAACTTTTGGCTTAAAACTCAGATTGAGGTTATAGGAAACAAAATTTCATTTTTATTTGAAGTGAGAAAGCTATTTTCTTTTTTTTCTTTTTTTCTTTTTTTTTTGTAATTTTAATTTTTAATGAAGAAGGGTAGATTGAAAAACGCAAGTGAATTTCTGCAGCACTGGTTTTATCAAATCTGTTTTGTGGTTTTCTCTGGAAATGGCTGATGTAGAAAGCTGTACCCAGATTTGTAGAATAAAGGCCTGAAAATGTACTCTAGGAACACATTCTTCAGGCAGAAATAGCTCCCAAAGATATAAAGCAGACAGCATGCACAGGATGAAGCTGGTTTCTCCATGTACTGTGGTCACTTACATGAACACAAAAGGAGTTTGTGAATTTAGAAATTCTTACCTTTCCAGGATTTTTTTATCCTAATATCGTTATATAAAAGAAAGAGGATACACAGTGGCTTAAAAACATAGGGTATAGCTGCCCCATAACAGGCAAGCATATATGCGGTTTGTCTCTGCCCTAGGAAGTAAGTCCATCCACAGAAATGTAGTCATACAAATCTGCTACAGCATTATAAAGCTAGCCAGAGTGGATTTAAAAAGGGAGATGGATAGCTCAATTAAAAAAAAAAAAAATAGCATTTTTCAGTTTAGATTGTGCCATCACTTGAATCCCCTTGCCATGCTTTGATAAAAGACCACCAGACCTGACAAAGGACTTAATGATGGTTCTATAGGACCAGCTATCAAGGCATAAAAAGAAAAAATTATCTTGAAAGATTGCAAATAAAGATACATCTCTAACAACAGTAAGGTATAGACTGTATCACTGGAATTTTGTTGAGTCTTCTTCTGAGAAAAGGAGATTAATTTATCCCTGGGCTAAAAATCAGTGAGTTTGTCAAAACTCAAAATCAGTATTTCTCAAAAAATACTGACTTGTAGGGTTTTATTTTCCAAATCAAATCTTAGCTTTGAAATTTCAAAATTCCTCCTAGAAATCTCTGAAAAATCACATTAGACATGCAACATTAATGTTATCGAAGATATAATAAGGGAGGGAAATACCATGTTGCTATGGTCAAAACCTTCATGTTTTCAGTCTTGTTTGGATTAATGTATGCTAATATTATAGCATGAGCAAAAAACAATTCAACTGTCATAAAAAACTGTTAGCTTTGAAAATATTCCATATTTTCAAATATATACCATATATACCATACAAAAATGAATATTTTCACATCTTTGCTGTTTAAATTGATACTCTCCTATTATGAATACAGATTTGACCAAGTCAGAGCTGACTGTTGTTACAAAAATTTGGGCAAGAGTTCATCACAACTGCTTGTGAATCTTTGTGTAGAAACAGAACAGACTTCCCACTGGAAATGTAAATGCTGGG